GAGTTTTGCTGAAGTTGGCAAATTTGTTAGAATCTTGTTTTTGTAATTTTTCAAAAAAACAAAAATAAATTGTAGAACTCTATTGTGAAAAATCAGCTGTGGTGTTTTATTGTTGAATCTCTGCTAGTGCCGCATCAGGACACCCCCACCCGGCCGGTGTAGATCCAGTTAGCCTCATCTTTGCCGATACAGATCCGGCGATTTCATCCCAGCAACTGTGACCACCACCAGGTTCTTACATGAAGGAGACAACAAAGTTCGATATAAAGAGGAGAAGAAATAGATACGTCTGGGATGGTGATGAAGAAAGCAAAGCGTGTTGTATGACATTGGCAAATTGGGAAGAACACAAGATAGCTTCCACTTAGATATTGGGCGCTATCAACTTGATATCGGTCAAAGAAAGGAGATCAAGGAGCGGCTGATTGGGAGAATTCCCATATCTCCAGATTTGAGTGAGAATCTTTTTTAATTCACCAAACATAAAATTTGGAAACTTGATATCGGAGATATCATTATCTGTTTGGCTCACCAAACAGGCCCTTAAGGTTTTTCATTTCAAATTCAATTTCCTTACAAATGAGCTAAGGTCGTGCTTATATAAGCCAAGGGAGTACGAGGTCTATCCTAATTAAGAGGAGAAAATAAGAAAGAAACTTGAGGACATTTGCACGACTTATATACACATATCCCTTGACATGTACTTGGTCTTCCTTACGGCATGCTTCCATGTTTCAAGGAAGTGTCTCCTCACCTTTTGCACAATTTTCCTTGAGTTACGGGGCTGTATTTTTTTATTTTAGGAGTGAATTTTCTTCATAGTATGGTGGAGAGCTAATGAGGATTAAACTCCACACACATGAAGTACTTTGCCTCTGACTTGCTTGGGATGAGCTTCCATGTTTCAAGGAGGATTATCGGTGGACATGTTGGCTTTATTTAAGGGGATTATCTTTATTATTTTGTTCCATAATTTTGTGCTCTTCTAGAATCGTGTGGGAGGCCTATTGTTGGAATTTAGTCATTGATACAAGAAAACAAGCTCCAGACAGTCCACCATTCACGAATAGTATTATGCTCATCATTGACTATCTTTTCCATTATAATTTCATCCATATGCTATCAAATAACACAAAGGATGAATTAAGTGTAGCTTCCTTATAATCACATTTGAAAATCTTGCCACTTTCATGTGCTAACAAGTCATAGTCTTACTTATGACAAGCTACCACTTTTCAAGGTGGTTTGTTCTAGAAAGATTCTTTCTTAATTTGTGGTTTGTGCTTTCATTGTATATTTCTTTTTCTTTTGTTGTTTTTGATAAGGAAATGATGGAAGTCCCAGATGGTATGTAGTACTCCCTCCATCCCCAAATTGACTTCTTAGTTCCCTTTTTAGGCTATCCATAAATGATCTTTCTGTTTCCTTAATCGGCAAATTTTTATATACTGAATGACATATTTATCCCTCTGCCCAATTTTGTCACTGTTTCTTCTTTGATTGCCATCACTTTTGGAAATTAAAATTTCTTCATTCAACCCCACCCAAAACCATCTTCTTGGAGTCCTTCCTATCATCAGTGTTTTTTCTTCGACTCTTCCACCCACATCAACGCTTTTCTTCTCAGTTCTTCCTCTCCATGTCTTTAGTCCTTCGACTCTTCTATCCACACCTCATTCCTCTTTTTCTACCCTGCAGCCCCAACATTTAACTATGCTACAGAGTGAGCTACCACCTCAACAGTATTTGAACAGATCTAGATCTAAATGAACTAGGGAAGTGCACAGGTGGCAGATGTGAAGGGTGGAGGTGGCGCAACATTTTCATTTTTACAGATCTGAACAAATCTAGATCTGAATGAGATAAGTGCAACGTAAACTAATTGTTTCTTCAATATGTTTTCTTGAGACATTGAAATTTTTGTCCAAGTCAATGAAAAATATACAGGTAGATGACAGAGTATTTGTGGATTGAAATACCGTAGTATCTTGATCAATTGGATTTTCGTTGGATCTAAACAGAATACTTAAAATTTTTGGAAAACATTCTGCACTTAAATTGTTTGATATCTACGATGATTCTTTTACCATCTGAGGGTCGGAGGCAATGCGACAGATGTGACGTGGCGGACGAAGGTGACATGCTGGTGAGAAAATCGAAAGTAATCCTAAGTTCATGTGGATGAGTATTTCAGGCATGAAGATGCAAAAGTCCAAATCCAGTTTGTGTAAATTGCACTTACGCTGGACTACTTCACATGTTAAAAGGCATATAAAATGGGTATAATGGATGATTCAGTCCCTCAGTTTTAACTTTTTGCATGTTCCATGTTCCACTATTTTTGTCTCATACTATATTTTGGACATAAATGTGTGTTTCACATTCATTCTTACCTTTTAACATGCTCAACCACAATCTTACTTTTCTTAATTTTTGTGTCACTCCCTCATGTCTCTTGGTCCCCCTGTTTAAAGGCAAAGGTGACATCCAGAGCTGCGAGAATTACAGAGGCATCAAACTGCTTAGCCACACCATGAAGGTTTGGGAGCGAGTCATTCAGTATAGGGTGCGGAAAGGGGTATGCATCTCTGAGAACCAGTTTGGTTTCATGCCTGGCAGATCAACTACAGAGGCCATTCACCTCGTGAGGAGGTTAATGGAAGAGTATAGGGCTAGGAAGAAGGACCTTCATATGGTGTTCATTGATCTCGAGAAGGCGTACGATAGGGTGCCAAGGGAGGTCTTATGGAGGTGCCTTGAGACGAGAGGAGTTCCCATCGCATACACTCGCGCGATCAAGGATATGTACGATGGGGCTATGACTAGGGTAAGGACCTTCGGGGGCGACTCTGAGTCATTCTCGGTAGGGATGGGGTTGCACCAGGGGTCTGCCCTTAGCCCTTTTTTGTTCGCCTTGGTGATGGACGTCCTAACTCAAGGTGTGCAAGAAGGGGTCCCATGGTGCATGCTTTTCACGGATGATATTGTGCTTATCGACGATACACGTGAGGGACTAAACGATAAGTTGGAACGATGGCGCCTTGCCCTTGAGACTAAAGGGTTCAGAATAAGTAGGAACAAGACTGAATACATGGAGTGTCGTTTCAGCGGCAAGGAAACAGAATCAGAGGTGGAAGTTAGGATTGACTCTCACCTAGTACCTAAGGTAGACAGGTTCCGATATCTTGGCTCGGTAATCCAGGTTGATGGGGAGTTAGACGGGGATGTTGGACATCGTGTTGGAGTGGCTTGGGCCAAATGGCGGTTGGCTTCAGGGGTATTGTGTGACCCGAAGATTTCGCCCAGGATGAAAGGCAAGTTCTACCGATCCGTAGTCAGACCTGCTATGTTATATGGGGCAGAGTGTTGGGCGGTTAAGAAGACTCATGTGCGTCGTCTGCATGCAGCGGAGATGCAGATGTTACGATGGATGTGTGGGAAGACAAGGTTGGATAGTATTTCGAACGAAGTTATCCGACGTCAGGTAGGCATGGCGCCGGTGGAAGATAAATTGCAGGAAGCGAGGTTGAGATGGTTTGGTCATGTGAGACGGCGGGATGCTGACGCCCCTGTACGGAGATGCGAGCGGATTACGGTTTTCGGGGGAAGTAGGGGAAGGGGTAGACCTAAGAAGAATTGGAAGGAAGTGATTAGACAGGATTTAGGACTTTTCACCCTGACTGAGGATATGGCTTTAGATAGGAACCTTTGGAGAACTAGGATTAGAGTAGCTGGTTAGGAACTCGGTGCTATAGAGGTTTTTTGTAGTGTGTTGTGTTTGATTGGAATCTTCTATGAATGCTTGTAGAACTTTCTTTTCATTGTACTTGGTGTTTTATCCATGCTATACTGTGTACCCTATCATATTTTTTGTGCAGGTTGAGCCGGGGGTCTCTTGGAACCTCCCTGCTTCCAAGTAGGGGCAAGGTCTGCGTACACACACCCTCCCCAGACCCTACTGTAGTGGGATCCAACTGGGTTGTTGTTGTTGTTGTTGTTGTTCCCTCATGTCTCTAAAAAAAGTGGGATGGAGGGAGTATGACTTTAGGCGTATATAGAGCCCTTGCCGAAAATAAAATTAAGAATAGAAATAGCAGAAGTTAATCCTACTCCTATTATGATTTAGTATTCCTATTACTATTACTATTAAGTAATCTTACTAGGACTAGGAATTCTGCTAAACTCGAGATATAGGAAAAAACAAACTTTCCTAATCTTGTTACATACAAAACACAAAATAGACATAATTAAGTAAAGGAAATGAACATCAGGAAACATAAACTGATAAAAGTTGCCAAGCATAGAATCTTGAAAATCATGATTCCTTTTTCTTTTTTCCTTCTATCCAGTCATGCCACTTACATAATACTTTAAAAAGGATTTTTTTTCTTTTCTCACACCGTACATGGAATGTGTTTTGCGAACTCCATTCACAATTTCACATACAAATTTTTTTCCTTACATCGTTTATGGAAATATTTGGCCGATTCTGTACATGGAGTTGTATGTGTGTGGACAATCTGTAAAGTGAAAGGGGATAGAACTGGATTATAATGTTGATACTTTCTTTAGATGAGTTTAGCTCTAATTCCCCCCTCCCCAATGCACAAAATAGTTTGTACTTGACGTCCACAATCATGAAAGATAAATGATTTGTGCTTTTATAACCTATCATTTGTTACAATATGCTGTATACTACCTCCGTCCCAGAGTATTTGTCCACTTTCATTTTTACACACCATCCAATACACTTCTTTAATCCATTTTATCTTGTAATTTGTATATTAAAAAATTATAGAAATTATATATTAATAATCTATATGTCAAGACAAATCAAACAAGATCACACATGACTATATTTAGGCTTACACATTGAGAGAATTTGATGAGTCAAAGTGCTTAGATGAACAGTTCCAAAAGTCAAAACTGGACGAATATTCCGGGACGGAGGGAGTATTTGATATGCCAAAGTGGTTAACTCTGTATCATGCTATATGCAGGCGGAACATATCTGGTCAAGAGTTTGGTGGTATGTATTGTGTTGTCCTCTTGATCAAGTGAGTCTTCAGTTTCCTCCTGTTTCACTTGTTCACTTTCTATTGATTAACTAGATGTGATACTTGAATACTTATGCTAATTTAGCCCTTTATAAGCAATGCCTGCAGGTCAGTTGTTGTATCAGCTGGTCTTCTTAGGGTTTTTGGACAAGAGGTTGCTGAGCTTCCTTTGGTGGCTACGAGTAGGGAATACCAGGGGAAGGTAAGTTCTTGTATACTTCTTTGCCATCATAATGTAACAAATGATCGTTCAACTATTTTTGTTTGTTCTGTTACACTGCTCTATTTTTTTCGTATTGCACCAGTGGTGGTTGTTTATCATGTCGTATTTACAGGGCTATTTCCATGCATTGTTTGCATGTATTGATATGCTACTACATTCCATGCACGTTAAAAACCTAGTGCTACCTGCTGCTGAGGAAGCTGAATCTATCTGGACAAAGAAATTAGGGTTTAGAAAGATGACCGATGAGCGGGTCAGTTTATTTTTCTTTTAGCTCAGTTTCTACATCTAGGCATGTTGGGAGTTTGGAAATTGTTAAACTGTTCAGGTCAAACCTCCATCTCAGCAGTTTTCAAAATTTGCTACTAACATCTTACATCGACACAGCATTACAAAGACTGGGAGTTGTGTTTATGTCAACGGTCTATCTTCCACAATCTTTTGAATTTATACTACTGAAACTAAGTATACAGCAGCAGTCACTTGTCTCTAACTATCTCAATTCAGTGTTGGCAGGAACTGCGATTTTAGGCTACAGTTAAGGTTTGAGATGTTGTCTAACCATTTATCAATCTGTAAACAGTATTTGAGGTACTCAAGAGACTTCCAGTTGACGGTTTTCAAGGGGACTTCAATGTTGGAGAAAAAAGTGCAGCAGGCATGCATATGATGGATGCTTTGTGATCCATTAATTGTGAAGTTTCCGAGGTGTGCGGTTGGCAAATCAATCTTGCTTGTGTAGGTGGAGACCTCTAGAAGCACATTGGCTGTTACAAAGTTCAGGATTACTGAGTTCCATCTATACTGATCATTAAATAAGTAAGTCTCTTATTCTTTCCCTGCCGTCTCATCGAAAAGAAGTGCGTAGCTTTTTTGACAATGAACAAAAAGGAGCATGCTATCATTTGACTACCCATGGATCTACCTTTTGTTTTGGGTTTTCATGGAATTCATTCTCTCCTTCCTCGTGTACATGATCCCTGAGACCTGGAAATAAATTTTGATTTTGTTAGTTCAACGACATAAAGGACTTCTATATTTTACTTGTCAGTGTTTTGGTGATACCTTTAATCTCCGTTGAATTGTCTTAGATGAAAAGAAAAGGAAAAAAGATTTTTCCTCCCTGTCTGCGATGTTTAAAAAATTATGCCGTCTTAATCTAAGTTGTGTGCCTATTATTCATATGATTATTAATCACATTTTTTTTTACCTAATTTTGCTACCCATTCAAAAAATAATAATATAGTACTGTCATCTTTTGTTTTCTAAAAATTAGATATTCAAAAACTAGATCAAAAAATTTACAAAATTAGTGGTGACATCGACGGCGGGTCGGAGCGTTTTCCGGCCAACTCCAATGAAATCGACGGCGGGCATCCACTCCAATGTGGTCGTGGCACTCTGGCGACCTCCAAGGACTCCTCAATTGCAAGATTTGTTGATGATTTGCAAAACCCCCAATTTTGGACTCAATTTTGAATTTTTGGGTTTTTTCGAGTAGAAAAATTCAGATTCAAGAAGTTACAGGCCAAATTAGACAAAATGGTTTGGATATTATTGATCCTCGTCTCAAGACGAAGAGAATGACATTGGTCCCGCCAGAATCGGACAAAGTTCATTTTCCGGCGACTTTGACCGGCAGGCGGCGGCGGCGGGGCGTGGAAAAAAAGAAAAGAAGAAATGGGGTCAAATTGAAAATTTTAAAATATTTAAAATTCGAATTTGGCCCAAATGACTGGAAGTTAACCTAGAAACGGGCTAATGGTTCATTAGTGAAAGGATTGTGTAAGTTCAGGGATTTATTTGATAGGATTTGAAGTTCAGGTACCTCGTTGAAATTCTAGTTAAAGTTCAGGTAACATTGGTGAAATTACCCCAAAACATGATAAGAGCCAACTTCAATGAAAGAGGGTAAGGTGCCATAATTGCCACATTTGTATTTTCTTCACAAAAAAGAAATCTCCAAAAGAAAAGTTAAATGAGAATGTATTTACTTACGGAGTACCAGAGGTATCTTCAACTTCTCCAATCAAAAGGTTAAAAGACACGAGGAAGAAATAAAGACAACACCCCAAACTTTTTCTAATATCCTCTCCGAGTTGAAATCAAATACTACCTCCGTTCCGCTATATTCGTCCACTTTTGACTTTTGGAAATGTTCATCTAAACACTTTGACTTATCAAATTCTCTCAATGTGTAAGCCTAAATATAGTCATGTGTGATCTTGTTTGATTTGTCTTAACATATAGATTATTAATATATAATTTCTATAATTTTTTAATATACAAATTACAAGATAAAATTGATTAAAGAAGTGTATAGGATGGTGTGTAAAAATGATAATGGACAAATACTCTGAGACGGAGGGAGTAGTTTTCAGCAATACCATTGAGGATATCACATAGTAGATTTCAGCAATATCTCCATCCAAGAGAAGAATGAATACTATAGCCTTATTTGCATCCTACATTTACAACATATTGAAGGCGATGAATGATTACCTTTACAAAAAGCTCCCCTTCAATCCTGGACGAACCTTCCAAAAGATTCAATTTCAAGTCACTACCTTTTTCAATTATAAAAAGATCACAATACTATATTTTCGGTCTGATGTAGTCTTGTTCTGGTTGTAGCAATTTTTGGCTTGTAGGAGCATATGCTTGCTAGACTGGTTTGATTCCATATGTACACTTACGCTTGGGGTGTGTGATTTTACATATTTTGCTTTCGGTTCAAAAAAAATAATTGCCTTTTTGAGTATGTGAAAAACCAAAATACTTCTCTTTTTCGTTCATCCTTGAGCGTTGGTCAAAGGCCTATGAAACTTTAAGCGTGCCACCCAATTAGGTCGTGCCAGGTGTCAGTGCCTAGCTGGTCATATTTTAATCTAGTTTGAAAAATATTTTTCAAAGGCCTATCTTGGTCAAACTTTTGTTTTGAACAACTTTTTCTTCTTTGTCAACATCAAATTTTGAACCGATTTCAGTTAAACAAATTAATTTTGAATCAAAACCATTCTTTTTAAATTTTTTAATCCAAGCAATTTTTTATTTTTTTATATCTATTTGACCTCAAATACTTTGATGTTGTGCATAGTCAGATTTGGATAAACAATTTCTACTCCAACTTTTGCCATTTTTTTCCCCTGTCTCAGTAGCCTTGAATTGCTCACTTTTAGCATTTTCATATTTTTTTATTCAACATTTATTCTTTTTTAAGAGACAGCTTTTGATCACTTTTTACAATTACAAAGCAAAACATGTAAAAACATACGAGAACTAAATTGGTTGACTCCAAATTCGATAATAACACATCGAATAGCGAGCATATAAGTACGTACAAAATAGACTTATCAAAATTCATCTACTTAAATATTGCTAGTCCTGAAGCAAAAGTGTACAACACCAAATGAAATTATAGATCAATCATATATATACAAAGGATTTTGGAATTTTTTTACCACACTTAAAATATTTATTGTACAAAGAGTATTGATGATATTTAATTCCATTGAGTATATTAATCTCACGATCTCTCTTCAAGAATCTCAAAAAAATTGAATAAGAGTAAAGAAACGAAATAAACCCATTTAGGAAACTTAGGTGAACCCTCTCCTAGGCACATGGCTGTCCACCTCATGGCCGAGGCAAAGTCTAACCCATAAATCCGCTCGCAGGATCCCATTTGGATCTGGGCCTGAGCATTGGTCATTTAATTAGATAAAAATATTAGACTATTTACATTAACAAATACAACTTGGCCCCAATATTAGGCTAATTACCATAGTTTTCAGAACCGGATCGGTGATCGAACCGGTCAAGGTAATGACTCACTAGTTTACTAGTCGAACCGGTGGTTTAAACATATTTAAAAATTTCACACACACACACACACTTAAAAGTAAGTACTTTCACTTAAACTCCTGCTTCTGAGAAAGGGATAAAGATTTATTTTCTATATACACACCATGTATATAGTACTACATTAGTACACGAAACTAGGAATTCAATATGTTAGGCGTGGTTTACCCTTGAATGGAATGATGAAAGTAAACCCGTAGAGAATCCACATATATGACCAAGAAACCACTGGCCTGGGCAGCAAGTGCCTGTGCTTGAGCTTGAATTGTTGACCGATGGCATACATCCTAATCGTTGTTGCCATCGCAAAGACACCAAGCATCAACCATAGCTGCAAATTAATTATGTTATATCATAATTTCTTTTTTTTAAGAATATTAAAGTAATAAAAGAGAAGAGTTAGTACCAACCAGAAAATTAGATGACATTTGGTGTGAGTTTAAAATCATAAACAAAAAGAGAACTGTTACAAGAGAAAAATTAGCATTATGTACAAAAAATGGTGGAGTGGAAAACAAATTCGGGTTATGCTAAAATAGATTTTAAGTCAAAGATACCAGTTACAAGGAAAGCAAGAGAGTTGGTATTAACAGGATGCGCTTGATGAACTTGCTGTCAAAATGTGGATATCAAGATTGTGCTCAACCAATTGTTAAAAGTCCAAGAAGAGCAAATTAATGAGATGATTCTTGAATTTCTACACTGTTATTTTTTTCATTATTTTTGTGTATTTGAAGCATATGCTATATGTATAATAGTTATATAAGGAGCAAGAGGATTTCTAAAGACACATTTCACATGTTAAAAAAAGTCATCATATAGCTGTTAGTGCGTGGTTTTTGGTGCTACAATGAACCCTTTACATTATATAACATTTTTTATATGTCTAATAACATGTATAAATAAAGGTTTAATTTTTATGAGTTAAATTGAAAATATAATAAAATACTCTTATCTGTATGAAGTTTGAAAGTTTGGTTGATAACTTCATCATGTGTCTGGTCCTTCGACACCGCCTTCAACATTGTGTGCAGAATACCCTTGGTGAACCTTATTTCAAAGTCCTGTAGAGAGTGATTTATATGTGTATATAAGTAGATGTACTAATATGAAAAAAGGGAAGTTTGTCCTCCCCGAGTATTGCATACTGGTGTACTCACCAATACAGAATTAAAGATGCGGTTTGCAATTGATGTGAAGTAAATGAAGTTTGATATCAATGTCCTTTGGAGGGTATGTAGCATGGTAATTTCCAATGGACACAGGCGTTGGATATATTCCTGTTGCTTTAATGTACTCAAATTTGTGAAAAGGGAAATGCAACAAAGATGTGCAGAATGTATATAATTACCAAAACATTGAATGCAACACGACATATATAACAAGTACTAAATGATAAGCGGATCCACATTGGTCCAAAAACATTTCTTGTAAAAGTTAATTGAGGTGCATCATAGAAGTTAAGAGATGAAATACCTGGGTATGGATATTAGCTTCAGAGTGTTGCATTAGTTCCTGCAAATGTTTTTTGGTTAACGGTGTTCTGCATATTGATTCTGTAAGCAGTTTAACGGCATTTTTAAATAAGACAAATGCAAACAAAATGAGACATGAACTTTAAGGAAAACGTATTCATTATTATCATTGTATGATTTTATAGGGTTGTGATAGGTGTTTGATAAGCAATAAAGAGTATCGTTTTTTGAAATTTAAAATTTTAAATGAAAAGAAACTGATATTTCATTTAATTGCAGAAAATGAGAATATTCTTGGTGTAAAGAAGCAATTATTGCTAGCCATTAATTCTGTGGAATGATTCTTGTTATATGAATTAATTTGAATATCCCATTTTCCATTTCAAAATAAATGGTGCAATACCTGGTATATCCACTTTGACTTGAACTTGGTGTTTATCCTGGTGTACGAGAAGTTGACGATGTGATCATCTCCTAGCAGTATGTATTATAACATGCTGTAAGGATGAACCTTTGGATGTAATACTTATTAAAAATTAACCTAACCTGAACGTATATGGGGTCTAGAATATTAGCCAAGTCTGGTAAACAATTAATCTTTATTCCACATTTCCTTGATACAGTTCATTCATTCGAAAATATGATTATGAATTTCAGAGGTGAAATAGTTGTTTCATAACTCAAACATCAAACCAAGTTACTACACTACTCACTCATATTATAAACATGCGTCATCAAACTCATTACAATAGAGTCAAGGTAAAAAACTGCATCTCGGATTCACAAAAAAACAAAATCTGTGGAACAAGGCTTTACAATGCAACTAAGCCAAATCGGAAGATTGTAAACACTGACCCTACAACTTTTCAGATTTGGAACCAAGATTATGAAGATTTAAGGTTTTAAACGCTATACCCTTAGTATCCTGGCGGTGTTCCTCGTAGGAAGTTGAAAGTCTGTGCTGGGATCCTCCAATTTGCCTCGATTATATCTCTGGTTGCAGGTTCCTTGGCTACCATGTGGATGCGGCTCTCTCCCTCGGCTTATCCTCCTACTGCTTGGTTTCTTGCGATATTCACAGAACCGGAAAAAGATGAGTGAGAGGAGTCAAATGGTGTTATCCATATCCTCCCACTCGCCGGAGACGACCGGATTAGGTTTTCTCGGTGATGAAACGCTTCTGGTTCTCTCTCTCTCTCTCTTAGTCTAGACGCCAGTGAATAATTATTCCACTCCTGCGTAAATATCAGCCCATTTTCTTCGGTTTTAAAATTTTTTTATTTCAAAATTTGCACCAAATAATAATAATTTCAAAATATATTGGTAAACGTAGAGTTCTAGTGACATCAAAGTACAGTGACACTCAGGTGTCACTATCATTTTGGGGTACTTACGGTACTCCGTTTGTAAAATTGACGATTCCTACCCTCCCTAATCCACCCCTGAACCCCCCCACCCTACCCCTACCCCGACACTCCATCCCAACCCTGCTGTAAGCCCCCACAAAATGTGTGGTTATTATAAATTTCATAATAGCCACACATTTTGTGGGGGGCTTATGGAGGGGTGGGGGTGTAGGAGCCAGTGTACGGTGGGGGATTTAGGCGGTGGGTTAGGGGTAGGAACCGTCAATTTTACGAACGGAGCACCGGAAGTGTCTAAAAATGACAGTGGCACTGCTAGTGTCACCAAAAGCCGGTGTCACTAGAACCCCACTGATTCTTAAAATGTTATTTTTTGCTTCAAAATATTCGAAATGTTCAAAATGGAATTAGGACAGATTTAATCTTAATAATCAAGATTTAACCTACAAATGTGAACTAAAATACACAAAAATAAGGGGTAAAAAATATGTACAATTCTGGACCTAACAAATATTTCCACACTTAAATCTTGATAGGTCCCCGCTTCAACCAATTTATGACAAGCTTTCTATTAAAAATCATCTTAAAAACAGCTCCTACTTTTCTGTACTTATCGCCAGGTGAGCAACCCATTGTTAAAAATAGTGTAGTAGTTAACTTTCACTTTGACTTTTTTTGTTTAAAACATACAGTAAGGTTTTCAGAACTCGTCAACTTAAAAGGCTAAAAACTCACTTGACACTCAGCTTCTCAATGTTTGTAGCACAAATTTGTTATTTAAGAAAATATTTTCCAAGATAATCAATTCAGAATGAACCAATTGGAATATCTTAAGTTCTTTTAAAAATTAGAAAACAATCCTTATTCCATATTTCCTTGATATAGTTCATTCATTAGAAAATATGATTATGAATTTCAAAGGTGAAATACTCGTTTCATAACTCAAAGATCAAACCAAGTTACCACACTACTCACTCACATTATAAACAAGCATCATCAAACTCATTATGGTAGAGTCAAGATAAAAAAACAACATCTCATTAAGTGCAAATCTTAAAAATCATGTCGTTAAAGTAAAAAAAATTATGAATCACCAAGTAAAAGATGGGTTTCATGGTTTTTGACCAAACCCTGAAATCAAAGGTGGTTCTAGAAAATAATTGTTGGAAAACTATTTAAATGTGTCCAGAAGTAAAAAACAAATCATCAAAAGTTGGAAACCACTTGGTTAATTTGGATGCCGAAAACCGAACGTCGAACGCCGAATGTTGTGGTTTTGGTTTGGGCAATGATCAAGGCTTTTTGGCTACTCAAAATGTTTATGAAAAACATTTGTTGGATGCATAAAAATGTTTTTGTGATTTTAGCTATTGAGAACCAAGAAGCAAAGACCATGGTTGGTTTTTTATCACAATAAAACCGACTCAATGAAAACCTAAGTGTTCAACTTGCTCTTGCTCTTGATTCTTTCGTGCTTTGTGTCATGCCTTGTTCTACGCCTTTAGATGTTCAACAAAAAACCCTCATATCCACGACGGTTTGACATTATTCAAAATATATCAAAAAACCAAAAACAACTTTAGTACATTAAAATTGTGAAGTGTGTTCCAACACCCGCCCCATATTCATGAATGTTAGGGGAAAAATAGAGAGATGAGCAAGGAAATTCTTCGTGATTCAATTCTCAGAACACAGCCATATAGACCTCCCCTCTATGGTGCTACGTTTAAATCTTGCTCGTACCCACTTCTCCAAATCCTCTCTAGTTGATAAGCCCTTCAAAAGAGATGAACGAGGAAGGCTTAATCGACCATGACGACCTGCACACGGAGAAAGTGTTTAAGTTGGCTAGCTTCTTTTATATATATATATATATATATATATATATATATATATGCATATTTATTAATTAAATACTTTGTTTCAAAAATTTTTATCTTATTACATTATTTATTTTATTTATATATATATTTTTTAACAAAGTAAATAGAATAAAAAAATTAATTGAAGGGTGACAACTGATAATTGATAAGTGACATTATGACACATATACATTCTTTAATAATGTACCATTATATAATTATTAATCCACTTTTTATTAAAATATTTTATTAATTGAAACTATTTTTATTAGTACTTAATTTAATGACCATTAATTTTGTAGAATTTGTTTCTTTTTAAATTAACATATCAATATATATTTTACCAGTTTAAAATATATTTTGTCAGTATTAGAAAACTAAAACAACTAAAATTATATTTATAGAATCTCAAAAATTTAGAGTATATACGAGCCCGTGCGAAGCACGGGGTTAACACTAGTATATACGGAGTATAAATTTAAGAGTTGAATGCATAGGATCTTGACATATGGCACAACGTGGGGTATACATGTTGAATAATATGGGCATATTATGTGGAAATTGATTTATGAGTTAGACTCTATTGAATAATAGTTGAAACAATATTAAACATTTATTTTTAATCAAAAAATAAGATTACTAAATATAAAAATTCAATAAATATTATATATTAAATTATTAAAAATAAATGTTTAATCCTGTCCGGAAGTACGCCCGCATGTCGTGATGTTGACGCTGCACCGTTCGGTCTATCTGCTCGATTGACCGCCCCATGTCGTCCACCGTAAGAGTTAGCCGATTCAAGTTATCGGCTATGGGTTGCAATGAGGCTTTGGCGGGGGCTGAGGCACAACTCGGTTTTGCACCCTCTCGGTCTCCGGACTTCTTCCGGAAGGTGTCGTCATGGATGATCCAAATCTTCGTCATCTTGGTGGCCGGTCCAGCGATGTGGATGTCGGAGGCCACGATGAGATCCATGTCGAGGAAGGCGTAGGGCAAACTCCGCGGTGTCGATGGAAGCGCAATCCTAACATATATGTACCTGCACCAACTCTTTGTCAAAGAAACAGTTGTATGATCACCTAAAAACCTTCAAAAGTTAGTATATTGAATATAGAACCCAAATACAATGTTGTAATAAAATTGTTTATATTCGAGACCCAGTGTAAAATAGTATATAAAACAAGTGTGCGTGTGTGAGTGTGTGTTTAAGTATGTAATTTATTTGTTTGTAAGGTAAACAGTGTGTATTTGTAAGATGAACAATGTATGTTTGGTATATAGTTTATATCTATATTCAGTTTAAGAAAGTGTTTCCAAAACTCTCCTTGGCAACGACGCCAAAAATATGTAAAGACACTTTGTCAAAGTGTTCAAATTTAGAACCCTTTTGAAACAGTTGTTGCTGACAAATAGTGAGATTGGTATTGGAAATAACATATTCTCTATTTATGTCCAGAGTCTGGGAGTCATTTATAATGGTGTTGGTGTATGTTTATGATCATTTACAGGAGATTGTTATTGGAAATTACCTAGCTCCAAATTGTATATAAAGGTTGTATATTTCCTTTGTTTAAGTTTAGTCAATATAACCAAACACATCCATATTTACTTTGTTTCTCTTCCCTGAGATACTAAGTTTCTCTTCTTTCTTGGTGAAGCAATCATTAATGGCAGCTAGCTTTGCAGTGTTTTACAAAAACCGTCAGATCAAAGGTTATTTCAACGACTTAGGCTCTGTTCCGTTCAACTTATTTTTTCTTATTTTTTCTTATTCTTATTAAAATCAGACCAGATCAGATCAGATCACATCCAATCAGATCAGATCTAATCAGATCAGATCAGATTCAATCAGATCAAATCAGATCCAATCAGACCAGACCACACGAGATCAGATCCAATCAGACCACACCAGATCAGATTAGATTCCATCAAGAATTATTATTATTATTATTATTATTATTATTATTATTATTATTATTATCATCATCATTATCTTTATTATTATTATTATTATTATCATCATCATCATCATCATCATCATCATTATTATTATCTACTATATATATATAAGCTGAATGAAAAATTCAGCCCAATCCAATTCCAATTTTCCCGCCAGAATAACACAATTTGATGGCTATTAGAGGTTTAGGACACTTGGCATAAATCTATGCAGTCTCACCTAGGCCTGAATTACAATCACAAACGGTCGAAAACAAATGCATCACAACCCTCTAACATTACAATCAAATGTAGACAAAAATTTAAAAGTATGTTTTGCAGTAAAAATACTCTCTCCCTTCCATTAATTGAATCTTCCACTCCACCATGAAAAAGTCCCAGACCTATGCAATTGGATAAAGTAGACATATGCAGTTGGATAAGCTCTTCAACGACATGTGGCTTCCACCAAAAAAACCAAAATTCTATTTCAATTTAATGAAATACTATATATTATAAATACAAAATAAATAGGGTCAAAAATGTTTTACCATTAGGAAATAAAAAGATAAGACTGCCATGACTGTGACCACAATGTCAATTTTTGGTTGCCACGCCAAGATACGAATCATATTATCAAATTGTAATAACCCAGCATTGAAAAATACACAAAGCTATCATCACAGCCTCTTGAAATTTTTTACAGAATTGCATTCCAATTTCATTACCAAAAAAACTCAATACAATGACTATTACAGTTTGGGAAATTTGACATTAATCCATCCAATCTCAGCCAGGCCTCATATACAATAAAAAAGGCCCAATAATAAAATGTATCACAATCTAAACAAAATTACTATCAGAAATGGACAAAAAATCAATGGCCGGTTCCTGTGAGAATGCACCTTGTGGAGAAAAATGAGAATGAAATCTAGCCGTTGGATCTGATGCATCGTGCGGCTCAGATTGCATCCTGCACTCAAATTTTGAGATAATGCATTTTCAAAGGATTATAATGCATTTCGACGTGATGCATTTTCACACCATTTTGTTGCATCTAATTTTGATGCAATCCTGACCCTTAGATCGCACAATCTAAAGCACCAGATTCATTCTCATTTCTCTCCTAAGATCGCATTTTCACCAGAACCTATATATATATATATCTGTGTGTGTGTGTAGACACACACATAGATATATACTCCGTATATATTTGTTTAAAACCCAGTTGTATTTTTTACTAAATAACTCCGTAATATTTGTACAGGTAGAGATGTTCAAAATATGAGGCCATTCTGTTCTTCCCTAATTCACGATTCGTCAAGTTTATCACAAACACTAATATTTTGCGTTCAAATAAACCCCTTGACTGACACAATTATTTCTTCATACATGTGGTCTGGTTGCAAGGTCCCAAAATGAACCAAGAACATGAGAGTTTCAAATGGAAAAAAAGGTGAAAGCACTAACATCCAACATTTTACCAACATTTTACCAATTAATTTTTGTTTGCCATTATCAAAAAGGGGGAAATTGTTGGAACACAAGTTTGTTAATGCCAAACCTGTTTTGATAACAGGTTTTGTTAAGCACCGTTAAGCTTAACGAGATAGTAGTGTAGCTCGAGAGAGTCTCTCGGGAGGTTGGATTAGCCACAAGTTGTGGTGAACCAGGGTAAAATCGGTGTGCCTCTTTCTTTTCTCTTTACTTCTCGTTTATTCATTTTTATTCCTGCGATTTCTTGATCAAACGCTATTCACCCCCCCTCTAGCGTTGGTCTATTATTTTAACAGTTCTAAAGGATAGTTGTGCAGATACTGAAATTCCTTTAGATTACTGGTTGAGTCTAGGAATAATTCCATAAGAAAAATTGTGGAAACTTTTTATTCTACATTTGCAACAAATTTCGGTGAAGATAGTTTACTACAACAAAGAGTAATTTTACCCCCAACGCTTGAAGTCGTTGAACCAATACATCAATATATGATTATAATGAATGGTGGACGATTGTCGCGTCCACCAAGCACGACCACCTCCTCCCGTACCCGTTTTTGGTGATGGACATCCTTGAACGGTTCAAGGTAACCACCACCGTTGGCCCGCTCACGAAGGCCACGAAGATTTGGACAATCAGCAACCAAACCTTCATCAAGCGGTCGGACAACGCCGCGGCTGCCACTGCCCAGCCACGCCGCACTGCCACTGCCGCTGGCCCAGCCGAACCCCAGGCCCGGGCCAACCTTGCCTCCATCGCTGACTCCCTCAACCGGCTCCACCTCAAAGTTGACGGGATGGGAGGCTACCTTGAACGGCTCGACGTCGCTGTTCAACGCCAAGGGTACGCCATGAACGCGTACTTCCAAGGCATCAACTACGTCCCCCCACCGTTCCACGGCACGTTCCTTGGGCAAGTGTACGGTGACGAAGACGAAGCCGATGACTCCTACGCCCCGTCAAGCTCCCCGGATGAAGACGAGTTCGACGATGCCATCGATGGGGATGAGATGGACGTCGACGATGACGAGGAGGAAACCGAAGACGAAGACTAGGACTCCCCTAGAATTTCTATCTCTTTTACCTTAATTATCTTGTTTTTTTAATGCTTCCGTTGTACTCCACTATTTCCTTTAATAAATAAAATCATCTTTTTGTTAATGTCAAAAGGGGGAAGAAAGGGGCTATGCATATACTAAGGGGGAACGTCTCTATAAACGAGACCGTTTGATCTTAATCCAACAAATTTTTTTTGCACAAATTAAGGGGGAACTTTTTCACAACCTTTTGAAAAACAAACATCCCTTAGTATGCATATCCCCGTTTTGTTTGCCATTATCAAAAAGGGGGAAATTGTTGGAACACAAGTTTACGCCTACGTCGTACTAAACTGTGTTCGTTTCTATGACAGGTTTTGATAATGCCAAACCGCCGTGACATAACAAGGCTAAAGAGAACAAAAACCAAGGCGAAGGAACATGGCATGATGTTTTGAGAACCAAGAATCCAGAATCAAGAACGAAGAATTAGATTTGTATTGAGTCGGTCTTAATGTGATCAAGACCGGCACAAACTTTTAAAACTTGGCTCTCTAGGCTCATTTCATCAAAACTCTTTTTACAAACTCAAAAATGTTTTTCATAAGTTTTAATCTACCCAAAAACACTTGGAGTTCGCCCAGACCAAAAACCAAGCCATCCGGCGTTCGGTTTTCAGAAACCGGCGTTCGGCTCTCGGTTTTCGGCATTGGTTTTTGGCGTCCAAACCAACCAAGTGGTTTTCAACTTTTTATGACTATTTTTTACTACTTGGCACATTTAATTAGTTCTCCAACAAAAACGCCTCAAAAACCACCTTTCGTTTTTGATCGTTGAGTGAAAACCATGCAAAACGGCGCGAACTTGGCTAGCCGTGGTTTTCAACTAAATGACGTGGTTTTCAAGATGTTTTACTTGATTTCTTAGCAAAATGCAATAAACAAATGTTTTCAAAACTTGGTTTTTATTTTGGAGAACTTGCGTTTTTGACATTGGCTAACGGCGTGACTAAACCAACCATGGGTCTGGCCAAACCAGCCCAACAGCGATGTTGAGGTAATCAACAGCGCTGTCTGGCCTGGGTAGCTAAAAACATGGTTTGGCTTTAAGTCTTCCAACAGCGATGTTGGACACTAGACATCGCTGTTGAGCCAAGGTTGGATTTCCAGAAACTTCTAGAACAGCGATGTAGGCCCTACAGCGCTGTCCAACCTAAGCCAAAAACATAGTGCATTGGCAGAAAGTTTTTGGACAGCGATGTTGACCCAGCAACAGCGCTGTCAGGCCAAACTTCCATCTCCAAAGGCAGACCTAAACAGCGATGTTCTAGTATAGAACATCGATGTAGAACAGCGATGTTGCCAATCACCCCTTAAATACTTTGGTCCGTTGGAGCTTATTTTTCTATTATAAAATGGGGTGTTTGGGTCTGTTTTACACATCACATTACTTCACAACTCCTACTCTTTCATTGCAAATCATTCTTCAATTATTCATAGCTTTTGAGAGCCATTTTTGTGAAGCTTGTGTTGTGTTTTTGAGCGTTCTTAGTTTACTCAATATCCACTCTAAAAGAGAGTATTGTTCTTGAATGTTTTTAGTGTTCTTAGACACTTGACAAGAGAAGGTATTTCTCTTGTTGTTCGAAGGAAGGGCTGTTTCCTTCGAAGGTTCGTTGAGGTTCGTGTGACTCGAATTCTCAAGTTGTACGGGTTTGTTAAGCACCGTTAAGCTTAACGAGATAGTAGTGTAGCTCGAGAGAGTCTCTCGGGAGGCTGGATTAGCCACAAGTTGTGTTGAACCAGGGTAAAATCGGTGTGCCTCTTTCTTTTCTCTTTACTTCTCGTTTATTCATTTTTATTCCTGCGATTTCTTGATCAAACGCTATTCACCCCACTCTAGCGTTGGTCTATTATTTTAACAATTGGTATCAGAGCCTAACTCGCGTCCAAACTTAACCATTTGAGAGTAAAGCGATCATGGGCTCTTCTTCTAGAAATCTCTATGCAGGAATTGGAGAAGGTCAATCAACCTCTAGGCCACCACTTTTTGATGGCACCAACTACTCTTATTGGAAGGAACGGATGAGAATCTATATTCGTTCCACCAACTTCCAATTGTGGTTGGTGATCAAAAATGGCGAAGAAATCCCTATGAAGAAAGTGGGAGAAACCACGGTCTCGAAGACCGAAAACGAATTCGATGCGGAGGATATCAAGAAGATTGAAAACTATGCAAAGGCCATCAACATGCTATATTGCGCGGTCAACCCCGATGATCGTACCTCCCGTTTGTTACACTAGGCATAGGCACCTGTCACAAAATCAAGCACACTACCATCACACACCTAACACCTGAGGACCCAACGTAAATTGGTTACCTAAAACTCATTGATGTGTTTCATAGGTGTGCTTGAAGGCATCAAGTGTACTTTGGTACCTTGATAGCGGATGCTCCAAGCACATGACTGGGGATGCATCCAAGTTTCTCCAAATCAAACCCGCTAAAGGAGGAAACGTATTTTTTGGAGACAATAGCAAGGGAAAAATTATCGGCGTTGGTTCAGTAGGTAAATCTGAAAACTCCTCTATAGATAATGTCTTGCTTGTTAAAGGTCTTAAACACAATCTCTTGAGCATAAGTCAATTATGTGACAAGGGAAACCGTGTGACCTTCGATTCAAAATCATGCACAGTAGAACGCCTTAGTGATAATAAGGTCATTCTACGTGGTGATAGAATTGATAACATTTACTCACTCCGTCACATTGTGTTTGTCCACTTACCTTTTGGCACACCATCCAATGCAGTTCTTTAATCCATTTTATCTTGTAATTTCTATATTAAAAAATTATATAAATTATATATTAATAATCTATATGTTAAGACGAATCAAACAAGATCACACATGACTATTTTTAGGCAGACACATTGAGAAAATTTGATGAGTCAAAGTGCTTAGATGAAGAGTTCCAAAAGTCAAATGTGGACAAAGACAATGGGACGGAGGTAGTATATGGTTAACTTAGACAAATCTCCTTCCGACTTTGCTAAGTGCCTAATGAGTAAAGAAGAAGACACCTGGTTATGGCACCGAAGGGTAGCTCATATGAACATGAACCTTTTGAACAAATTGGTTTCACAAGACTTAGTAATTGGCATTCCAAAACTTAAGTTTGAAAAAGACGCCATATGTGATGCATGTCAAAAGGGGAAGCAAGTTCAGGCTTCGTTTAAGTCTAAGAACAATGTTTCAACGTCTAGACCGCTTCAACTTTTGCACATGGATCTTTTTGGTCCTTCTAGAACGAAAAGCTTTGGTGGCAATTACTTTGCGTTTGTGATTGTCGATGACTACTCTAGGTTTACATGGACCTTGTTTCTTACTCATAAAAGTGAAGCATTTCATGTTTTCAAAAATTTCCTAAAGAAAGTTCAAAATGAAAAAGAAACAACCATAGTAGCCATAAGAAGCGACCATGGGGGAGAGTTCGAGCGAAATCTGTTTTCAGATTTGTGTGACGAACTTGGCATTGATCATAACTTCTCAGCCCCACGTACACCACAACAAAATGGAGTGGTGGAACGTAAGAATAGATGTCTTGAAGAGATGGCTAGAACTATGATCAATGAGGCAAAAATCCCTAAGTATTTTTGGGCGGATGCCGTGAGTACCGCGAGCTACGTGTTAAACCGAGCCGTCATTCGACCGATACTCATGAAAACGCCCTATGAACTATACAAAGGGAGAAAGCCAAACCTTTCCCATCTTCGAGTCTTTGGTTGCAAATGTTTTATTCATAATAACGGCAAAGA